TTTAATGTTTGGATAAACATGGTTAATCAATTCTTGGATACTTGAGACAAACTCCACAACCATTTGGGAGTGAAATATTTCCATTTTGGTCCATTTCAGTGGTTCCATTGCCAAGCTGCAACAGCAAATCTTCCTGCTTCAAGGTCACCTGTGATCCTAACTCTCATGTTTGTTTTCAGGCTGCATCTTTGAACATGGCTCCAGATGTAAGAATTTTTCAGGCAAGCATTGATTTCATCAGCTGGAGTTCCTCTTGACTGATAATATTTGTCTAAAATCACCAGAGAGTAGCACAGTGATGCCTCCCATGATTTGTGAATTCTGTCTAATGTCTTTCCACTTATTACTTAATTTATTTTGTGTTTGTGTGTGTGTGTGTGTATATATATATATATATATATATATATGAATCCAAGGGTAAGTAATCCAAGTGAATCCTATTAATATAAAATATTAAAAACTGATCCACAAAAGAGACCTCAATATATTTATTATAGAGATAGAATGAATTAATAAAAATGAAATCAATTCTTGATACTTTTTTTATGGCCATTTCACTTGGGATAAATTCCCTACAGCTTGTCAATACTAAAACGATTGACTTAAAAAAAAAAAAGGTTTTAGCATTGACAAGTTCCAGGGAATTTATTCTGAGGAGTGAAATGACCATAAAAATAGGGTATGATTGAGTTTCATTTTTATGTAATTCATATATATATATATATATATATATAAAATTTACTGTGTTTTATAAGTTGTTTTTTATAAAATGATATTTTATAATACTGAAATTATATCTAAAAAATTAATACATTTTAACTGCTTCCAAATATTTAAATATTTTCATGTTCTTAAAAGAGTACATATTTCAAATTTCAAATTTGGATTCTACAATTAGCATTTACTCTCGTAAAGTATAAATATGATATCTGGTAATAATTCAATCAATTGTCCAAGGTCTCAAATGCTTGCTACTTGTGTGCCATGGTACAATGAAGACAATGAAGCTTGTCTCCTCCAGTAGCTTAGCCAAGTTGGTTCCTTTCTTGATTTTGCAAATAGGAGTTTCATTGTAGTTCAAATCCAATGGAATTTTTGAAGGTGCTGTGTGCTTGTAGACCCTCCAGGTAAGAGGGTAACAGCAATTCCAGATAATGCTACTGCTAGAGCTACTTTTCTTTGGAGTCTCACTGCAGATAAAAGAAGGTTAGTTACAAAAGTTTTACCAGTACCTCCAGGTGCATCGAAAAGAAAATCCCTCCAGTGTTGTTGCTGATGTCATCAAGGACATTTTGATAAACTTGCTGTTGGTCTTGGCTCAACAGGGGCTCACTGTTTTTAACACATTGCCGCAGTTTTTCCATGTTGTATCCTGTTTCTCTCAAAATTTCTCTGTTGATTTGTCCAGTTTTCTCTGTTTGGATTTGGAAAATTAAAATTGCTGAGATCTCTTTGAGCCAAGTTCATGACTTTGTCTTCAGTTTCACAGAGAGCTAAATTTTCAATTTGAGGATTCAATTCCAATCCTGGATGAGCAAATCTCATTTGAAGAAGATAAGTTAGTGAGTTGCGTCCCTTTAATTGAAAAAGTGTGATACACAGATTTTCACATTTATTATATAGACAAGAAATCAAGGACAAGCAAAATGAACCATTATTAACTATATTGAAGGTGATCATTCTAGGTATAGTGGAATTGAAAGAGAGTACTTTCCTTTGAATTCCTACCAGAAAAGAAAATAATTAAAAGAAACACAGCTATTATTTAATCCAATTGAAAACAATAATCAATTAAAAGTATTGAAAGAAAAGATGAGTGTAATATAACATATGACATGTTCCTTTCATAACTATGTAAAAACTATCACAGCTTGGCTGGGAAGTGTTGATTCTTCTGCCATATTCATTAGATATTGCCCATTAACATTTACTCTGGTTTTAGAGAATTCTGCTATGAAAATAATTTCAATTTCCTGGATGACTGCAAGAGACACCTAGAACTGTTCTTTGCTGACAAAGATAAAATGTTCTGGGAGGATGAAAATGGCATTAATGTGAAAGAAGAATGGCTTTGAGATATCTAAAACTTGAAGGAAGTTTATGATTCCATATAATTCCTAACAGGATGTATAACTCTTGTTATCAAACTCCTTAGTGGACTAGTGGATTACAATTACTATGTCACCAGATTCACAAACCAACTTTGTGAATCTGATGATATAGTAATTGTGAGTTCACTCTCTGAGCAGACTTAGGTGAAACAGAGAGAACAATAACTGAGCAACACTAAATAAAAACAAGATGAGATATCCCTAGACATAGACTGTAAATAAGAACATTTTACTCCTGTAAATTCAGTTCAATTCAAAATTCTCTGAGAGTTACCCAGACTGTCAGACACTTGAAGAAAGCCAGAGGACACAATGGCCAAAATGATAACAAAGATGTGAGCATTAGTCTGAATGCAAATAATATTAACTCCTCTTAATTTAATTAGTTTGATGGCCTAATCCGCTCTTTTATCTAAAATAAATTTAAGAGAACTAGTTAGTAGTGTTTCAATGAAAAGTTAATATTTAAAGAAACTTTCCTCAACTTCCAAAAAATTGAACACACAGGACAAAGTTATCAATATTGCAAATTAAAAAAATATTAGATAACAACAAATAATTTCAGGTACTATAAATTATGTACAAAGCTAAACTGCTGCTGATTGATTCTATTTTTCTTTGTCTTGCATAAAAAATAGCTAATTTGAATATATTAAGCAAAAATTCTTGCATGAAAATACCCAAGCACTGGGTAATACTGGCAAAATGTTTTTTGCAGGTTTCTATTAGCCCATTTGTCCATATACATTTAGTCAATGTTGTATAAATTCTTGCACATTGAACTTTAAATAAATTTGTAACTTAAAAACATTATAGAAATGTACTAATATGAAAATTGTGATAACTAAAAAGAAGCTCCCTATTAGCAATAAGAACATCACAATCACAAACTGACAGAATGTTTTTGCCCATGAGAGAAAAACTTAACAAAATTAAATCTTAATGCTATAAATTATTAACTACCCATTGTAACTATAACTTAAACTAATGAAAAAAAAATGTGTTTAAAAATAGACAGGTAGAAAACACAAAATTGGAACACTTTAAGCATAGCATTTATAGACATTTATAGATATTTATTGTTTAATTTTATATATATATATATATATATAAGCTCAGGAAAATTATTTATCAATGCTTTTAAATAAAAAACTGGTGTAACTTCATAGGATTCCTACTTTAGTTATTTTTAGTATGTCTAATAGCAAAATGGCCTAAAAGCTGTAATTATAAAAAGCAGAGTTAAAATCTAAGGTAGAGAAAAATTATCTGTTCAATCCACTTCCCAAAAGCAGAGCATTATTTGTCATTGTAGCAGAGATGTTTTATAAAGTGCCAGTTTGCAGTTTCCTTGCACTTATTTTTGAATTTCTTTCAGTTTATTGACTAAACCACATCAATAGAAAATGTGGAATTAAGGTCAAGTTTCTGTTCCTGTAGAAGAAAATTCCCAAAGAAAACTATGAGTGTGCAATAGAGTGGGAGTCTATTATGCTCAAATGTGAAGAAGTGGTGTGTCAACTTCCAGTATGACAATTTTAATACAGAATAGTTGATGAAAATAAGATATATTCAATTTTAACCATGAAGTGAATGAGCACCAAAGCACAATTTCAATACAATCAAACAAATTTACTTGCACATGAAAAAGTACACAGGAATAAGCACATCATCATCTTGGAGAGTTTGATCAAGAAAAAGGGGTGCTTAAAAATTCCACCACTTTATGGCTACTAGATTCAAGACTTCAAAATTTCACCACTAGATTGTCCAACAGAGTTTGTTAAAATATTTCTGGTTTCCTGACAGTTCAATCCCTGGATCTGGTAATGTTAAAAAGTCACATATTCTGATTCAGTTGAAGAAAGAGAAAAGTAATACAAAGGTGAATAAAACTAGTGAGTATTAACATATATATGAAATATCCTTAAGTATGGAAAACTCCAATGGGTTGAATAATGTGTTTGTTTTAAAATTGAATTAGTATACACCATACACAATGGCTGAAATAGTGAGAGTATAACAACCACAATCAGCATGCTGGTCCAAATACCTCATCCCAAAAATTCAAATATAAATTTTACTCAAAATCTGTCGGAGTTTAATTTGTTACATTTTTCCAATTTGTAATCTGTTGCACATCCAGGTCAAATTTATAAAAAAAATAAAAATTTCATGATCTTTGAGTACTTTTGACCATCTGTAGTTAATATTTCCTAACCATAAGTGACAACTAAAGATGTCAATTATAGTTAGGAAATTTTTTTATTAGCTTCATCTTAGAGTTTCTAAAAATCCCAAGATGAAGCTAATGAGTTCCTTTTTCAGCATTTTTAAAAATCACCTTTGTACACTTAAAGTTATAAACTGTTTTCATTCATTTTTTTAATGTTAATATTTGTCATACTAAATTAATTTAATTATGCAATAAGTGATGCATGATCAAGAAAAATCACATTTAATATAATTTTAGCATTAAAATAAGTAATATTTGAATACAGTAAACCTGATAGTATCCAAAATGGCATATTATAACACCATGAGTTTTTATCTTATAAAATGATGAAAAAGTCATATGAATGAAAGATATATTTTGGATTTTTTCTGCAACTACATATTTTTTGCTAAGTCCATTAAAAATCTGAATTTAATATTTCCTAGCAAAATTTTTCTTTAAAATATTTCTCAAAGATAATCAGTTTCTATATCTGCTTCTCAAAAACAAGGCATTTGTCTACAATTGAACTCTCAGAAATTACACATTATTACAAGTATCAATTTAAGTAAAAATGCAACATATGTGTTTGTATTTCTACATAAAAAAACTTTATTCAGTTTAATTCAAATTAAGTATTTTAAAAATAAATAATGAAAAAAAAACATACTCACTCAGGTTCCTTAACAAATTTTATCAAATCAGTTTCTAATTTAAGTAATATTTTTCTATCTTTTGGTGTTTTGTTTAAAGTTTTCTTAATAAAATCCTCTAGATCAATACCAGTTGAATCTGTGTATGGTATATCAACACTGGAATCTGAAATTTAAAAAAAATGTAAATTAAAATTTTTTTATCACATTTTTAAGAAAAGAGAAAATTATATATACTGAATAACTATAGAATGAGAATGAGAACTGTAATGAATAAAAAGTCATTTAAAAAATTATAGAATTTAAATATTTTTAAAAATTTACCATCAAGTATTTTACTTTTTAAACACGTAAACCTTATTGGAAATATATTTCTTAAGATATATACATTCAGTCTTAGCTTTTATTTCCTAATATATTCTCTGCTTGCAGAGAATAGCTATTGTAATACACACAGAGCAAATAAGGAAACTTTTTACAATACTTATGTTTGGTGTGGAATTAAGTAAAAATAAAAAATAAAGCACCTGTCTAACAAAACATATTGCAATAAATTTAAGAACATAAAGCTATAAATTTTGGTGTTTCTTAAAAGAACAGGATAAAGTAATATTTTCTCCAAAAAGGAAGACTATATTCATTTTAATGTGTATGAACATGTGATCATGTGCAATCATATTTCTGGTAAAGATCAGAATAACACGTGAATAATTGAGTATAAGATGCTCTTTATTTAAAAGTATTTCAAATGAAATCAGACTGAATCCCAGCTCACACATCAAGTGCTTACAAAAAGAACTGGATATTAGAAGTAGGTATCCCAAACTCAATAACTTTAAAATAGTTAAAACATGACACAGAAAGGGCATTTTCACTGTTCATATAAGTTTCATTTCAACAGGTAATCAATCTGTTGCAACTTCTTGCTAAGATTCATAGCACAACAGAGATGATGTTAAATTCTTCTTTCAGTAGTATATCAATAAAAACTCATATTTGCAACAGCCATAAGCACAATTTTACAGTAGGGCAAAAACAGATCAAAAGTATACTATACTGAATTTGTCGTAAAAGAGTATCCATTGGAGGTACATTCCAGAAACACTGACACTTTATGTTATAACTCACTCCTAGTGGTTATAATGTCTCAATTAGACTACACAACATGACATAATTAGCAATTTCACTTCTACTGATTCACTTTGAGTTCTTTATTTAAGGTGTCTTGCCTAGATTATTTGTGTTATTTACTCCACAACATCGCCCCCCCACCACCACCACTTTTGAGATTACTTTCACTAGTAAATATTTTATTTCTTAGTATTCATCCACTCCTCTTTCTAGTGAGTTCGCCATGTACTGAACTTTGTATTTCTTTCATTTTGGGTCAATCTAGTTTTTCCGTACATTTCCTTTTTCTGGTAATCATACTTGTACGTTCAATGAACTCTTGGGGTGTTGGTACATCAAAAATATCATACAGTACTTGTATTGGTTCTTCCTTTTTTTTTGCATACTTTTTCTTTAACTGATTCCAATGCCTTTTGCGTTCCCATTTTTTTTCCTTTTACCATATATATAATTTTCCCAATTTGTGACCTTATTACACTGTCTTGACATTCCTTTTTCATTTTTATATACTCTGAAAAACATTTTTTTGCAAATTTTATGTCCTTTTCTTTTGTTCTTATTCTTTTTTTTTAACTGGTAACAACTTGTCAAACACTCATTTAATTTTTGTTGTGATTCTGCTAGTGACATGCCTGTTGGTGTTATTGGGATACAGTGTTATCCGGTATACTCTCAAGAATTGTTGTCTTTGCTCACTTTTTCATTACCTGCTTTTTTCAAAGTTCTCTTAAAAGTAGCCACAAACCATTCAGCTTGTCTGTGAGTGATATGGCTAGTTAATAATATGTTCAATTGAGAACAGTTTACAAAGATCTTTAAATTTGTAAGCAGTGAATTGTATACTGCTATTCGAGACTTTGACATCTGGAATTCCATATCTTACAGTTTGTTTTAAAAATTCACTGTAACCATGGAAGTTGGTTTTTGCACTTACAAATTTCAGATCACTTAGTAAAGCTATCTACTATCACAAAAGATAATGTGATCTGTTAATTGGAGCTGCAAAATCTATGTGCAGTCTTGAGCATAGAGTATCTGTTTTTGGCTAAGGTTGTAAATTCATTGTAGGTGATTTTGCTGCCAGAGTACAACCCTTGCAAGCTTTTACTAGTTTTTCAATGTCTTGATCCATTTTGGTCCAGTATACATAGGTTCTAATAAGAGATTTCATCTTTGAAATTTCCAGATGTCCACTATGAAATTCATTTAATATCCACTTCTGTAATGTGATAGGTATTACTACTTTTTGTGCAAAAATTAGTACTTCATCACATAGCGAGTAAGCGTTCAAGTCTGGATTGCATACTAAAAATCATCTATCTTACTTTCTTTGTCATTTATTTTATTTTCAAAATATACATGTCTTGTTCTGCGTTTACAGTTATTTCTTCCATTGCATAATATATTTTTAATTTCTATTTCACTTTTTAATGCTGCAATCTTGATAAATCATCAGCATGTCCTAATTTTTTGGACAGTTGATATTCCATCCTGAAATCGTAATTTAATAAGATGGTACCTCAGCAGTGTGATCTATTCACTGTATGCATAGGAATTCCTTTTCCAACCATAAATTGATTATTATCTGTCTGTAAACAAAAATTCCTTCCATGTATAAATTTGTGAAATTTTTTCACTGCAAATATTATTGCTAACGCCCATTTTTCTGATTTGGTTGTAGTTCTTTTCTGCCAGTAGTAGTGAGCACAAAGCATGTGTGATGGCTTTCATGTTACCATCATCATATTTATGTAGAATTACTGTTCCTATACCAGTGTCACTAGCATTCAAAGCCAATATAAATTTCTGCTTTTGGAATCCAAAAGCAGAAATTTATATTGGCTTTGAATGCTAGTGACACTAATTATAAGCTAGTGCACTAATTATAAATTTGACATTAGTAATTTTTTTGATTTCTTCAAACACCTTCTGACACTTATTAGTCCAGTTCCACATTACACCTTTTTTAAGCAAATTATTCAGTGGAGCTCTTCAATTCCACATATATTTCATATATGGATTTGATAATAATTTGCTCATCCTAGAAATGCTTGTAACCTAGTAATACTTGTTGGAGGAAACATTCTTAATTACACTTGCCCTTGATGGATCTAGTTGATGACCATTTTTGTCAATGACTTGTCCTATTTGCTTGATTTTAGGCAAAAACAATTTGCACTTTTCCTCACTGAGTTTGAACCCGCATTCTCATATTTTTTCAAAAACTCTTTTCACATGCCCAATATGTTGTTCCTTAGATACACTTTTAATTAATATATCATCCAAATAAGCAACTGCAAAATCACAGTCTGCAAGCATAGCATCCATAACTTGTTGAAATATAGTGGAGTCACTTTTATCCCAAAAGGAAGTCGGTTGAATTTATACAATCCCTTGTGTGTATTTATAGTTATTAACTCTGAACATTCTTCAACCTGTATTTGCAAATATGCTTAAAAAAGATCCAGCTTTCAAAAAAAATTTTCTTTCATCCTTTTAAATTTGCAAAACCTTCCTCTGGACTGGGTAGTTATGGGATTCTAAACATGTTTAACTATCGAAAAATCAGCACAAACACAAATTTTTTAATTTTTTTTTGTTACATACACTGCAGGTGCTTCCCGTTTTTGAATGGTCGATCTTTTCAATTACACCTATTTTTTTTCAAAGTCTGTCAAATTCTTAATTGACTTGATCCAATGCTGTGAACAATACACTACGTTTTGGTTTAAACACTGGTGTCAACCCTTTTTTCATTTGAAATATTAGCCTTGACTTTGAAACACAACGAACAGAACATTCAAAAAACATTTTTTCAGGTCTTCCTTTAAATTTTCAAACTGTGTTTTTTAATCTGGTACCTTTTCCACTAACATTTATGCAATAAATATTTAAAGCTAAATCCAACAACTCAAATAATTCCATCCAGTCATTACTGAATAAGTTTGTAGTATTTTTTAACACTTATGTGTTAAATTTTGAAAATTTAGCTTTTTACACACTTGTTATAAAATGAAACGTTACAAGTCACTTCACCAATAAATTATTTTATTTTTGTTACCAGGGGTGTCTTATCTACTTCACAAGATTGTACTAATTTCAACAAACCATTTTCTTTTAATATGAAAATCTTTTCTCATGTACATATATAATTTTGGAAACTTGTGAAATTATGAAACTTGTCAAAAAGAGACAGTAATGACATTTGTTTCACAAAATGAATCATTGGTCAATTCTTCAAACAAATGCTTATTGTAAAGCGTTAAACTTATTTATCATTAAGCTAAAAACACTGAAGTGAATAAAATACATTTATTGGAACTGATGAAAAATACTTTCTGGGTAGTTGAAATGTTCCTTCTGCATTTTCTCTTCTAATGGTGATTTGCAGTTTGAATTTGTTTATAAGCATCTGCTATAACCAATATTTCTGGAACACTCCATATCCTATAATTTCTTGAAAGTGGTATTATATCAAAGTCCCATTTATATCAAATGTTAATGCCACTTGTGCAATATCATCCAACAAAGGCTATCAGAAATAATCATTTTTGCCTTTGGTTAGAACTAAAATTTTGATTACATTACTAGATGGAGATGTAATATCAATGATTTAGTCAATGTAAAAGGTGGAGTAATACTATACTGCAACCTATTGGCCTTGGAGATGAAATCCCATTAAAAGTTATATCAGCAAAATATCTATTCCCTTCATCACAGTTTTTAACTTAAGCAGCATACATTGCAAGGAATTTGAGGTCTTCTTCAGTTTGCTTCCCACACTTAAAAGAAAACTACTTCTCAAGGCAGTGAGTTCATCATCCACTGAACAGAAGATTAAATGTAAATTTTATTAATCACCTAGGTAGCAGTCTCTCATGTAGAAATCACTAATACATAAAAAAAGGAATAGATACCTGATTAAAAAAAAAAGATGTTATGCTTATTATCTTCCATAACACTGTTATAATAATGGCTTTATGAAAATGAAAAAGACATTGCAGCTTTGCAAAAAGTTGAATCCATTTTTTTTTAAAGAAAATCTAACAATTTTATTTTAACCTCCAAAATAAGACCTAATCCTAAGAGTGATAATGAAAAGAAAAAGAAAAGAAATAAAAACTGATTAAATTTTGAAAATTACTTAATTACATTTCAATTTTTTATGGTCCCATACACCAAAATTAAGTTTATTCAGTCATTTTTTATTTTATTTTTTTATAAACCCTATCCAGTTTCATTTTTTTTTTAAAAGAAATGTAAACAAACATTCAATTTAATTCCCAAATCCTGAGAATTAGAGAAAATATTTCCAGCCATGAATGTAAATTAAATGAATGAACATTAAAAGGAAAACTGGACAATTTTTAAGAAATTTTCATTTTTTTATGGACAAATGCGAGTGTGAAATTTAAAGAACCAAAAATACATCCTGTTTATATATTTATTTTTCTATTCTATAATAATAATTCTGTTTAATGTTTTTTTGAATGCATAAACACAACAGCCAAGGTGAAAGTGATTCAAGCATGACAGTTTAACAAAATACAATAAGTACTTTATACAATTTTAAAATGCATCATTAAAGAAAATATAAGAAAAATATTTAAACTGTAATATCCAATTATCCATTGAAACAAATCTGATTTAAAATGAGGTTCTATTGGCAGTGTTCATTCACTCAGTCAGCAATACAAATTTTGATTTGTTGCACCAAAATGTTTGGTACAAAATTAACACAGTATAGCCTCTTTTGATTCACTTTCACCTAGAGTTGTATGGGTGCAGGGATATTAAACGAGCTGATTATTAAAGATGAGACATTGCTCTACAAGGAGGTGTAATTTTCCTTTTTTTAAGAGTTCTTTGGTATTTCATCTACTAAATTTTTCAACGTGGAAATTTTTTGTGAAAGGCAACTTCAAACTGTATGGTCAGCACGCAAAACTGACAAGCAGCCTTTTTCTTTATGATGGGACTGTTTTGACATCTGTAGGGAGACAACTCAAAGTGTAACAAATTTGAAAAAAAGAAACTACTAAGAAATTATCAACTTTGGAAATAAAAAAAAACAAAAACATGGCTGTCATTGAAATAGTGACATAATTAAAAGAGATGTGGAATAAAAACTAATCATTACTATGAGAAAAAATTGTATTGTTAGAAAGAAAAGATTAAATGTTGTGCTAACAGTTTCATATCTCACACTTCTCACTTGTGGAACTCTCTTCTGGCTCCATGAATTCCAGCCAACTTTAATCTGCAAAAATTTAAATCCAATGTCACTCTGTCTTCCTGATTACTCTCTTCTCATTTTGCTCATCATTATTGTTTCTGTTCTCAATTCTTCCACATCATTTTGTGTTTTAGTGGCTGTACTACCTTGCTTGAGGTGATACCAATTAAAAATAACCAGCAGTTGAAATTGAAGCAAATTTCCCTATTTTGACACATGTCCCACTGTAAACCAGGGTAGTTTGGGATACCTAGCAAAGGGCAGAAATTTGAGGACAAATAATAAAAAAAAAATAAAGGCCATTCAAGGGATAATTACAGGCTCACATTTAAACGAATCATAGTTGCTGAACAAAAAAAAAAGTAAAGAAAATAATAACTGTTTGATCAAAGGCTTGAAGAAATTAAAGATATGAAAAATCATTTTAGAGTTTCCAAGTAACAGGTGGCAAAGTTTGAACATTTTGGGTTTTCAGCCAATCAAATTGCTAATCATTAAATGCACTCCATAATATGTCTGCTATCATTTAATAATATATGAAACTAAATGTCACTGAAGAAGTTTGGAGCTGTGTAATGATGTGAGTACAAGAGGAGTGATTGCGAAGTGTTTGATGGTGGCAGAGGTCTTTGGATAAATGTCAAGTTCAACATGAGAAAAATTAAATTCTTTTTATATATGCAGATCGCATTAAGTTCTAGCAGCCATTCCTTCTGTCTAAATGCAGAGTTATTTATATATATATATATATATATATATATATATATATTTCTTTCAGGTAATATCTTAATCTTCTCAGAACATCTTAACAGTTCTCACCAAAGAAGAACTGCCAATGCTTTTTGCAATTTTCTAAGAAATTTAAATTACTTTCATTAGAATTTTCTAAACCAGAATAAATTTTTTAAGGTGCAACAGTAGATGAGTGAAAACTTCTCAGCCAAGCTTTTTTTTGGCTATCAGAAAAAATAAAAACATGCTGTCTAGCATTATTCTGATAAAATATTACAACTCTCATTTTTTTTAATACTAAATATCACACAATACAAAACTTGAAAGGCACTCAACCCTCTATGGTTATAGATGAAATTTGAAATGATAATAATGAATGAAGTGTGAGATATGAGTGGAAGAGAAAGTGGTAGAAAGTGGGGATTATAAGGATAAGGAGGATAGATAATGTTTGTTGACATGAAAAGGTTAAAACTGTACAGTTCAGGAAAGCTTCCATATAGGAATCTGTTGCACAAAGTGGTAGTTCTTGGGGAAAAAGCTGAGTGGAACTTTCTTCTTACAGAAGTAGCATGGCATGTCCTAGCAGTAAAGGTTTGCACTGGTAGAACTATTAAGAAAGGGAGCTCTTATTAATATTTTCCCAGGGTTCTATCCTTGGACCTTCTTTGTTCCTAATTTTTATCAGCAACCTTACTCTGATTGTAACAGACATCTTTTTGTCACTGCTTGTAATGAGTGTAAAATTTGTCCTCAAAGAGGCAAAATCATTATTTACTGATAGAATGAGAGACTGTATAGCCTCTCACAAGTTTGGTTTTAGAGATTACTTGCTGTTCTGCAAGAGTGTGCTGAACAAAAACAAATACTCAGTCCCTACTCTCTTCAGAATATTTAAAGTGTTGACATCTACTAGATCCCCACAGGCTTGTAGATTCAATGGTACAACTGTTCAAATATGTTCCTGAACTGGCTCCCATTCTCTCCAAACTTTACAATAAATGTCTTGCTGCATCTTGTTTTTCAGCTTATTGGAAATATTCTATTTTTAACTCAATATTCTATTTTTAAGAACTCAAATTATTGCTCTATTAGTCTCTTTTTTGGCAAAGTACTAGAGGCGCTTATTTCAAATGCCTTCCTTTTTGATAATATGGCTTCCATTTCGTCAGGTCTACTGCCAAAGTGTTGATTGCCAAAACTGAATTTGTCTATCAAGTAAAGAATGGCAAAGCTCAAGCTGTGGCTCTAGATATCTCAATAACCTTTGAGAGGGTTCAGCATGCTGGCCTTCTCGACAAGCTCAAGGGCTATGATGTCTCTGAAGAAATATTTGGCTTAATCCAATCATTCCTAACAAATAGTGTTAAGTACGGGCATGCCTCCAGATCATTTCATATCAATGCAGGTGTCCCCCAAATGTCATCAGTTCACAAGTAGGTATCTATGCAGATGACATAACTTACTCCTATCTTAGTAGCAAATTTAACAGATCCAGCAAAGTAAAACTGGCAACTGCTTTTGAAAAGGACCTCCAATCAGTGCTTAACTGAAGCAAGGAATGGCTTGTAAATTTTAATGCCTCTGAAACAAAAGTAAAAGTTTAATCACTACAAAGAACTTTTTATCCCTATCATCAGCATGTCTGTTGATAAACTGCAGGAGAGACACACTTTGTGTATTCTTGGCCTCACATTTTCCACTAACACAAAATGGAGTGATTATATTGAATCAAATGCTAGGTCTACTCCTAGCAAAATTGGTTCACTGCATTGGGCCAGAAAATTTTCTTATCAGAATCCATCTTGCACATTTATAAATCGTCTGTGGATTGAATACTGCTGCCATATCTGGTCTGGTGCTTCTACAATATATCTTGAGATTCTTAACAAAATTCAAAGAAGGGTTGGTAATGTAATTGATCATAACCTGGTATCTAACCTAGCATGAAAATCTAAACTAAAATGTCAATAAATTTTGGTAAAGTAAATTTTTTCACAGTTTTAACTGAATATAACTGGTCAAAACATTTGAAATATCACAATGTTTTATGTTTATATCTTCATTCCACTTTTGCTATGTAAAAAGTCAAGCACTTTCATCATTGAACTTTTCATCATTTTCAAAAGAAAATTATTTAATTTTAAACTTGAATGTTTGCAAAGAAACAAATATATGTAATGGAAAAAGGAGAAAATTATTACAAACCTCTTGAAGAACTCAATGAGGTACCAGCCTCTGAGCTTTGAGAACCTTCCTCTTCTAGCCTATTCCTACCACTTGGCTACAAATAAAGAAAATACAACATTTTAATATGTAAATCAGTGTATTTTAGACAAACCAATTCTGAAGATAGTAGTTTGATCTATAAATACCTTAGCATATTTGTGAAAAGTAAGGGTTCTGGTAAATTTTTAATTTAGATAAACTTCTAGAAATTAAAGACTAATTTGCAAAGTGAATCTAAAATGTTCCTTAACATAAATAAAAGGTTATGTTCAGCTATTTGTGCATTTGACAAAAAGAAGGTAAGCAGCTGTCAAATTATATTTAAATTTACACATTTTCAATGAATTAAAAGATTTGTTCATGCTACAATTTATTAAGAATAATTTGTTGTCTCAATTTATATATGAAACTTTTTTTTTTTTTAGACCTGGGAGCCTCTGATTAAGAAAGAAAGGATACTCAAAAATTCCACCACCAGAGTACAGTTTAAGGTTCTAGAATTTCACCACCGTTCTAAGAGACAAATGGCTTAATATATTTGGTTTCTTTGGTCAGATAGTGAAGAAAAGTCATATATTCTGGCACAGTTGGAGAAACAAACAAGCAACACTACTCAAACTAGATAGAATTAACTGAGATTTGATAATCTCTAAGTATGGAAAGCAAAATGAGAATAAAGAGTTTGAAAATTCCAAGGATGTTACTAAATATGAGAGACACCTGAAGAAGGCCAGAGGGTAAAAACAGACAAAATGTTATGAGTATATAATAACCAAGACGAGCATACTAGTCTGAATGTAAAAGTATATAAAGTATCATACTGATGTAAAAATGAATGTAAAAGCATATAAGTACCATACATATTTTCAGTGAGAACATTGTTTTATTAATTATAATTGCAATGACATGATAATGATCAGCCATCAACATCTTGCAACAAGAAATAATCAGTTATTGATTATCTAAGAAGGTTCTTTGTATCAAATGAGATATTAGTCTGTGTATTTAATTTCAGTAGTATAATTATTTTATAATTCTTTATCATTCAGCAGGACAGAAAACTTTTCTCCTCATAATGAGCTGTCTTCATATTCCAATATTTACCTATAAAATCATTACTTTACTGACAAGAACATAAATAAATGTATCTTTAGCTATTTACAATCACTATGAAGATTTTTTATAAAATCACTCAAGGTCCTAAAACACAAAAATCATGATGAATTATCTTATATTGTAATTTTTATCACAAAATGTTATATATGTTGCAAAATTTGGCTCATTAATGAAGAGTATGTAGGTTAAAAGTGGTATTTTAGTCATATCAAGCACACCATAAAATCTGGTATTTAAGAAAGTAAAATATAAATTCAGTATTTTATTATAGGTTTCTAAAAAATGTTATTAATTATAATTGTTTACTTATAGCATCTTAATGTCACTGTACCATTTTTGAGACAGTGGGCATTAAGGGATTATGGTACACAGATCTAGCTGTTAATTTTTATCTTTATAACTAACTTATTAGTATTTCATTTACTAGGTTAATGATAAAATAATAATTGAATAAACCTAGACTAAGAAAATAATGATTCATTTTTTTATAAGTAAAAGCTTTTAATATCACCTTGCTTAGGACTCACTATTTTTCACAAGCAGTAATACAGAGCCTGGAAAAAATAACTTCAAATACAACAGGAAAAAAATGTTCTTCAGCATATTTCTTCCTGGACTAACATGAAATAAAGAATATTTACATTATTTACTCATAAAAAAATGGAGTTGTTAGGGAAAAAGTATTTAGATGCCCAAAAGAAAACAAATGATGTACTTCTCTGGTTCTGAGTATACAACATGAATGCTTCTCCCACTCCAAAAAGGTTGTTTGGGGATTCAACCCTAAAACAATCAACATAAAGCTGGCTATAGGAAAAGCATGAAGAAGTCAGGTTGAGGCCTGTGATTTTAAGAAATTGTCTTTGTGCCTTGTTGTTGGCTATAGCAACACTGGTGTTTGTTAGGAATTGAAGTTACTTGAATTCAGAGGGCAAGTCTGTTGGAATTATTGGGATCCATAGAATGCACACATTTTGCTTTTTGCCTTCACTAGTTAGGATACTTGCCTTGATGAAATGTGGGAAAAACTGCTTGACAATTCCATTGCATAACTTTGGAGGGTTGAGATTTCTGAGAAACATGATGAGCATTCCAACTTTTAGATGAAGCTTGCAAGGGAGGGACACTGAGCAGTTCAAAAGAGTTGTGGAACTGGATTTTGAACAGCCTCAGAAGTGCCCAAAATGGTATCAATTGACTTGTGCAGCTGGACCTTTCCAAGAATCTGTTGCAACAGTTTTCAGTTTATTCCTTTGATTGCATTATTCTTGAATGCTTTGCTCAGAGCCATTGATAGTTTCTGTAATTTCGGCTCATTTTTTTAATATTTAAATAGCTGAAAAATTAAAATTTAATCCTCAAAATTTTAGAATTTTTCACTGAAAACATTTTTAAAGATTGCATGTTTTACAAAACAAAATGATATGACTTTTTTCAGCTCTTTCTTAAGCTATTTTAATCTAAAATTAATCTGAAGTGACCTTTAATGGCTTTGGAGGTCAATACCACCAATTCTCTCAACTTTTTCTACCTATATGTAGCAAGTCATCTTTGAGAATGTCATCTTTTGGCTGCAATACAGATTATAAAGGCCATAATTCTAACTCTAAAGGCCTTTAGTGAACTTGGAGATTGAATATGACCTTATCTGACCTACCATTTGTGAGATTAAAATCAGTTTTGTACTTTATAGCAAACTCAATAACTCAATTCATTTTGCTAAAAATGTTCTCTATAATAAACTCTAATGATTTCAAATAACTTATATAGACTATGTTGTTAGAATTTTTGTGATCTTGCAGTTATTCATGCTAAAAAACCAATATCCCTGAGATGTGTTTATCCATGACATATAAACATGCAAACACAAATTTTAGCATAGTAATATACATTGTTACGTTAGACCAATAATTGTACCCCCACCTTAGATTTTACAAGTATATTTTTAATACCTTACATATTTGCGACAAGATATGAGAATAACAGTCATCTCTTTATTTCTTTGAATATTCAGATTATGGAATATTTTTTTTGTACCTGGTTAAACTAAAGCCAGTTCTTGGAAGAGAACCTTCCTTTCCTCCACCTCCTGTCTGGCCTCTGATTTATATCAGGACATTAGCAACTCCACCTTTTTTGCTCGGAGAATTGAATGGACATCTTTTCTTTTGAAACTTTATTTCTGGTAACAATTGATCGATGTTGATCACTACAATTTGTAAGTCTTTACATGTTTATATATATATTCTATAATCTGCTGTCATTATTTTTGTCTGTATTTCGTCGCATTGATAAATGTTTGATCAACCAATTGTCCCCTCATCCCTTTTACTATTTAGTTTTGTTTTGTTTTCTTTAATTTAATACACTGTATATTTTATAAATAAAGTATTTTTATTATATGTTCTTGTGTCATCTTCTGTTGTTCTGTGTTTGCATATTGTTTATTTTCTCACTGCATTCACTGATGTCCGGAATTGGAGAATTCCCCTCCCATCGTTCTTTTCATCAATCTTACATTGAACCCTGGGATACTCTCGTTTATTTTTTTATTTTCTTGTTGCATCCCAGGTATCATAGAAACGAAACCCCAGGCGTAACAGAATTGGGGTACTTGTCATGGAATATCATTTCTCCTTTTCCACAAGACTTCTCAGTGAGGAACAGTGCAGTTATAGAATTGCATAAGACACATAAACCGAGATGTTTGTGATAGCTACTTTTCTAAACTCTCCTACATTCAACAGTCTATTAAGGCTGAAAAGGGACCATATTTTAGCGATAGGATTGAAACTGGAGTTGGATGTAAGACGGTCTATGCAAAAGGCACAGTTGGTGCGAGTCGTCTCAGAAGATATGGTCGATAACAAAGTTTTCGATAGGAGTGTTCTTGAAAACCTTGTGTCAGAAGCGCCCGAACTCTCAGAAGCCCAGATTGAACTGGAGAAACTTAAGGTTGAAGCCGAAAAAGAGAGAGGCTTAAGATCAAAGCAGAGACCCAGATTAAGCTAGCGAGAATTAGTCAGGAAAACCATGTCTGGGAAATAGAAGAAGAATGAATATGAGACAAGGAGGAACAGAACAACTTTGACCTCACCAAGCAAATCCGACTTGTACCTACATTTAACGAAGAAGAAGTGGACAAGTATTTCCAGCACTTCGAGAAAATTGCTTCAAACCTGGAATGGTCCATCAAAGCCTGTCCAACATTACTACAGACAGCTCTGAAAGGTAAAGCACAAGAAACGTATGCTTCCCTTTCAGTTGCGGACAGCACCGACTACAACATCGTAAAAACATCAATCCTGAGAAACTACGAAGTGGTACCAGAAGTGTATAGACAGAGATTTAGAGATCACAGAATGGACGAAAAGCAAACATATGTAAAGTTCTTCAGGCAGAAAGAAACATATTTCAACTGATAGATTTCGGTGAAAGAAATAGGAGCGGATTACGATAAGCTAAGACAGTTGATCCTAATAGAAGAATTCAAATGGTGCATACACAATAACCTCAAGACATTCCTCAATGAAAGACAGGTTGACACAGCCTATGAGATGGCTACCCTCATGGACGAATACACACTAACGCATAAGCGAGGCAGGAATAAATCAGAGGACCCATTTGAATATGGGAGAAGCACAAAGCCTCGAGTAATGGTTAGTGCTGGTTCGAGGACAATACCTGGTCAGACAAACTATGCACATCGAACGAACAGCCCGAAAAGTAAACGGTTTGATTCTCATTCTTTTACCCCCCCCGACGGACGGAAGGAGGGAAAAACATAACGTGTTACTACTGTGGAAATGTAGGACACATGTCGTCGAATTGTTTCACGAGGAAAGGTACTGAACACAGAAACGCAGTCTTGAATAAACCACAGGGGTTTATATCGTTGTATAAAGATCTCAGCAAGAAAGGTCGAATCAGAGAGGAATACAAACCATTTTTGTCAAACGGTTCCGTATGTCCGGTGGATGACCCCACAAAGAGGGTTAATATCAAAATCCTAAGAGACAGATGAGCGACCCAGTCTCTGATAGTTGAAGAAGACATGTCACGCGGATCAGAGACAGCCACGAGCAAACTTGTGGTTATACAAGGGGTAGGAAGCAGTTTTGTTAGTGTCCTGCTTCACCGGATTTCCCTTGACTCTGACATAGTATGTGGACCTATAGTCATTGGAGTGGTTGATAGTCTGCCCATGAAAGGCATATCGATGTTACTTGGAAATGACCTGGCTGGAGAAAGAGTTGTACCTCATCCAAGAGTGGTGGAAAAACTGAGCCTCTTGGAGGAGACTGAGAAGATTGAGGAAAAGCATCCTGGAACATTCCCATCATGTGTGGTGACTCGAGTGAATATGAGGAAGAGAGCTGAGGAGACAAGTGCCAGGATGGAAAGCGAGGATGAAGGGAATGAGGTAGTTGACCTCTCCCAAACTTGTTTAGGCCATGAGATAGGATCAAACCCTATGCTTGAACAGACCCCAACATCAAGCCCTAGCCCGCGGAAGGAAACAACAGATATCATGCCCATCATAGTAAGGTCTATAGCAGTCGAACAGAGAGAGAGAGAGAGGATAGCCAAATCGACCCCCCCCCACACACACCTGTTCGAAGAATCGTTACCTGAGGAAGAATTGAACAAGGTATCCTCAGGATACTATGTTGAGAATGACATCTTAATGTGGAAGTGGAGGCCCACATACACACCCGCCCAGGAAGATTGGTCAGGTGTACATCAGTTGGTATTGCCAAGGAGATACAGAGAGGAAGTGCTTTGGACAGCCCACAAAACACCCATGGGAGGTCACTTAGGCATCTGTAAGACACACAAGCGAATCGGTACACTCTTCTACTGGCCTGGAATCCATGGGGATGTATTGAGATATTGCCGGACCTGCCAGATGATAGGCAAACCAAATCAGAAAATCCTTGCTACCCCTTTACACCCGATTCCCGCCTTTGAGGAACCCTTCTGCCGAGTCCTCATTGATTGTGTTGGTCCCCTCCCCAAAACCAAGCACAGAAATCAATACTTATTAACTATCATGTGTGCCTCAACCCGGTTTCCTGAAGCAATCCCTCTGAGAAGCATTTCCGCCAGGAAGATTACTAAGTCACTCACTAATTTCTTCTCTATGGTCGGATTGCCTAAGATAGTACAATCTGACCAAGGTTTGAATTTCACATCCCGAATATTCTGGCAGGCTATGAACTCTCTAGGCATAAAGACAGTCACGTCTGAGTGCATATCATCCCCAATCCCAAGGAGTCCTAGAGCGATTTCATTCTACTCTAAAAACGATGATCCTTGGAAAGATTGGGACGAAGGTATCCCATTCTTGATATTTGCTGTGAGAGACGCGCCACAAGAATCGTTGGGATTCAGCCTGTTCGAATTAGTCTTCGGACACAGAGTGCACAGACCTTTATCTATGTTGAAAGAGAGATGGCTACAAGAAACCCCCACGAACGAATCGATATTAGAGTATGTATCCCATTTTTGAACCTGATTGCACAAGGCTTGTGAATTGGCACGAGAGAAACTTAAAACAGCCCAGAGCAAGATGAAGAGACAGTACGATCAAAACACTATTCGAAGAAGTTTCGATGTTGGAGACAAAGTACTGGTACTGTTACCCTTGTCTGGTCACCCCCTGAAGGCTCGCTTTCACGGTCCTTACGAAATTTCTCGGAGGGTTAGCGACCTCAACTACATCATGAACACTCCGGACCGAAGGAAAGAAACACAAATGTGCCACATTAATATGCTCAAACCATATTATGAAAGAGGGAAACCAAGCCCCATCCTAGCCATAGATGGACTTCTCTATGTCTCTAGTCATGCAGACGTAGACTCAAAAGTCCTAAAGAAAACAAATCATCCCCTGAGGTTACAGAATTCAGAGATACTATCAGATCTCGCATCTAAGTTAAATCACTTAACCCACGATGAAAAGGAGGAAGTAACCTCATTCGAAACTTCCATGACTTATTCCCTGACGTACCTAAATGGACTGATACTGCTCAACACAACGGAAATGCCAAACCTGTTAAGCAATATCCATACCGGGTCAACCTGCAGAAGGCGAAAATAATACGGCAAGGAGTATATGCTTCACCATGGGATAATCGAACACAACCAGAGTAGCTGGTCATCTCCATGTGTACTGGTCAAGAAACCTGATGGCTCGATACGGTTTTGCACAGTCTACTGTGAATACCCTTACCCACACTGATTCCCATCCCATTTCCCAGTTGGATGACTGTATAGACCAAATCGGTAAAGTGACTTATATCACCAAATTGGATCTATTGAAGGGTTATTGGTGCGTACCTCTTACTGAGCGCGTCAAAGAAATATCAGCTTTCATGACACCTGATGGTCTATACCAATATCGCATCATACCTTTTGGCATGAAAAATTCTCCGGCCACGTTCTAACGGATGATGAATCAATGTATACAAGACATACCTAATGTCGTGACATATATCGATGACACAGTAGTCTACAACACGAACTGGACAGACCATATGACAACATTACAGAGCATTTTCGATAGGCTTCAACAGGCTAATCTTACCGTCTACCTATTGAAGAGTGAGTTCGGAAAGGCCGAAGTAACATACTTAGGTCATACAGTGGGATATGGCAAAATCTCCCCATTGACGCTAAGGTTCAAGACATCTTGAACGTCCCAGCCCCACAGAACATCAGGAGCCTAAGACGGTTCCTTGGAATGGCCGGATACTATCAGAAATTCTGAAGGAACTTTTCTGATGTAGCGTCACCTCTCACTCTGTTATCAAAGAAAGCCAAATTTGCTTGGACACCCTCCTGTCAGAGATTGTTTGAACAGACTAAGTCTTTGCTATGTTCTGACCCTATTCTGAAGGCCCCGGATTTTTATCAACCTTTTAGCATGGCGGTCAATGCCAGTGATGTTGGAATGGGTTCTGTTCTACTTCAAGTCGATTCTAATAACATCAAACACCTTGTTAGCTATTTCTTGCGGAAGTTTAATTCATGCCAGCAAAACTATTCGACTGTAGAGAAAGAGACGTTAACCCTTGTCTTAAGCCTGCATCATTTTGATGTGTACACGCATTCGTCCTGCCATCCAATAACAGTATACACTGACCACAACCCTATCACATTCTTGCATCGGATGAAAAGTGGAGTCTAACTTTGCAAAAATATAGTCTAGATATTCAGCATATTCAAGGCACTGACAACGTATGTGCGGACGCTTTATCGTGCTGCTAATGTAATAAAGAATATACTCTTGATCAAAAAAAAAAAAGAAAAAAAAAAGAGAACAAAAGAGAGTAAATCTTTTATTTTTAAAGTAAATCCCATTCCCTATCGTGTTGAGAAAGAATCGCAAGTGATCCTTTTTAATTTTTTTTGGTAAGGAGGTGTTACGTTAGACCAATAATTGTACCCCCACCTTAGATTTTACAAGTATATTTTTAATACCTTACATATACGACGAGATATGAGAATAACAGTCGTCTCTTTATTTCTTTGAATATTCAGATTATGGAATATTTTTTTTGTACCCGGTTAAACTAAAGCCAATTATTGGAAGAGAACCTTCCTTTCCTCCAGCTCCTGTCTGGTCTCTGATCGCAGGCCAGACAAACGCTACTTGTCTGATAAGTACAAGTGACCCTAATAGTGTTCGATGGATAACACCTACTCACTTTCATATGCCAACACATGATTTAACCCCTAAGGTCTTTTTTTCACGCATGTTCGTATATAACAACTTCACTTAGCTGTTTGCTTTCAGAGGAATCGAACATCACCAAGAATCGAATGACCGATGAAAGAATCCTGAACGGTATTCTCAAACCCAAGTCATCTATACTCCTGTGGTTTATCTGTGTATGTTACTCGGCAAGGACTGAATGGCGTTAATCAAGGACTTATATCAGGACATTAGCAACTCCACCTTTTTTGCTCGGAGAATTGAATGGACATCTTTTCTTTTGAAACTTTATTTCTGGTAACAATTGATCGACGTCGATCCCTACAATTTGTAAGTCTTTACATGTTTATATATATATTCTATAATCTGCTGTCACTATTTTTGTCTGTATTTTGTCGCATTGATAAATGTTTGATCAACCAATTGTCCTCTCATCCCTATTACTATTTAGTTTTGTTTTGTTTTCTTTAATTTAATACACTGTATATTTTATAAATAAAGTATTTTTATTATATGTTCTCATGTCGTCTTCTGTTGTTCCATGTCTGCATATTGTTTTCGTTTTCATTTATAGTTTTCACATAAGTTACATAAGCTTCGTTGTCATTTTGTCAACTAATCAATTAAATGCTGGAATGTTGTTACCAAAGCTATAGTTGTCATAATTAGTATTTAAATGAAATTATAGAGTCCAATTTAGAAGAAATTGAAGATGATTTCAAGAGTAGTTATGAAACAACATTAATCATTTGTAATGTTTACACACAGGAAAAAGAATTATATGTATAAAATAATATTCCTAAAACAGTAAGATTTTCTTTTAAGCATGTTTTGTACAGTTCCATAAAAGATTGCAAGAACAAAAATTTGGGGACAAGTACTCACGTGAGGAAGTGATAATACATCACGAGAAGCATCTGTCTGTATGGTGTGATTTTCAGGTGGTGGAGATCCATCTTCATCAGTTTCACAGCATAATGCAGCACTACGGCGTAGAGATTTTGTTTTTGTTTGAAGTAACTAAAACAAGAAAATTCTTACTAAACTTTTCAGACAAGGCATCTTTATATTAAAGATTATTAAGGAAAAAAATTGGTAGATTTTGAACAATTTGGAAGAATTTACTGTTTACTAACTACAAATTTACCTTGATGCTGAATAAATACAATTATATGCTTCACATTATAAAACAGTATGGTTTTGATATGAGATTAACAATTCTAATTTTTTAAAATTTAATAGATCTACGTACAACAAAAAGTAAGAAATTAATTAATGAATCAACATATTTCTTTATCCTCATATTTGAAGTATAAACTAACGACCATGGACAAACTTTTATTTTTGTAAACAATATCAGTAGCCTGAGAAATGCAAAAATGGTTTGAAATCTGGATACAAAACTGACTTAAAAATCTGCTATGTTTACTTACTGGGTAACGAGTGCTTTTGATAACAATCTGAACTGATTCTGATGGTTGTTGTTCATGATCCAAATGGACAGATGATTTATAATCTTCAGGAGATGTTGATTTTGGTGATTCACCTGAAGACTGTACTCCTGGAGTCTCTGTTCCTAATTATAAAAAGAACACAAATTTCTTCAGCAAAATTGTACTTAAATTATATAAGACACTGACATCAATATCATAAAAAAGTATGTGTGTGTCAAACACAAACATGCACAAGTAAATGGAAGAAAATGTACATAGAATTTAATATTTTCAATATCAGTAATAACTTTTTTAACAAATATATAAACTTTACATACTGCTGATCCAAATTAAATAGAAATATTTGCTAGGATGTGAATAAATAAAGAATTTAGTTTAAATTGTTATAATGCACCATTACAAAACTTTTAAAATTTTTAAATTGCTTTAATACTCTAAAATTCCAGTGGAATATTCTAGAATGTTCCAATAATGTTATCAATAGTTATTTTTAGCCTAAAAAATACAAACAGAACATTCTGTAATTGATATTTGTGCAAGAGGTAAAGAACTGACAAATTTGCAAAAAGCTCTGGAAAGAAGGTAAATTTACAGAAAAATCTCAGACAACCTGAATATTCCATTTACTACCATTAGTTCATTCATTGCAAGGTATAAAAAACTTACAACTGTTGAAAACCAAAGAAGAACAGGTGCTTCATGGAAGATTTCTTCAAGATCTTTGAGGAAATTAATGCATCAAATTAAACAAAATCCAATGGTTACTTGTCAAGAGTTGCAGAATGATTTGCTTTCATCAGGTATCTGTGTCACTAAATGGACAATAAGCAATAAAATTCATGGGAACAATCTAAAGTCACGTTCCCCTTGGAAAACTCCACTGCTATTGAAAAGACACAGAGATGTCAGGCTTAAATTTATTTGTGAACATAAAGAAAAAAGAAAAGTAGCATTGGGAAAGAGTATTTTGGACAGATCAAACCAAAAGTGAATTATTTAGACATAATTCTAGAAATCATGTGTAGAGGAAAGATGGCAATGTCTTCAAACAAGAGAACACAGTTCCAACAGTAAAATTTGGTGGTGGCAGCATCATGATTTGGGGATGTTTTCTGCAAAAGGTACTGGCAACATATCAGTAATAGATGATAGAATGAATGCCACAGCATATCAAGATATTTTGGAAGCAAATTTAATGATTTCAGTTGAACTTCCTGCTGATTGGATCTTTCAACAAAATAATGATCGTAAGCACACTGCAAAATCTATGAAGAAATGGCTTGCTGAAAATGGCCAAGGCAGTCCCCAGATTTAAACCCAATTGAGAATCTGTGGTGTTATTTGAAAATTCAAATCCAATCGAGAGCTTCAACAAACACCCCGGATCTGAAGACCATATACAAAGAAGAATGGAACAAAAAATACCAACTAAAATTTGCAAATCATTGAGAACTACAAGAAGAGGTTGGTGGATGTAGAAGTGAATAATGGCTATTCTATAAAGTATTAAGTGAAGATTATGTATTCTTTTTTTGTATTGTACAAATACTTTTTTCACCCATTAAAATGGATAAATGGGATTTATTTATATTAAATCAAATTTTTTTCTGTTTTCTATGCATATTTAATTATTATGCATCTGTGTACAGTTAATTATATGAAAAGTATGTTTATTCATTAGTTGGAAATACATTAAAAATTTGTATGTGTACAAATATTTGTTTCCCCCCCCCCATGTATATCTAAAGCAAGATAATCTCTAACACTTTATCAAACATAACATTTTAAGAATAAAAATATATTTCTTTTGTCTGATTATATTTTTATAAATATAATGTATAATCTATATATAATTCTCATTACATAAATCTAATGATTCAACATATGTCTTTATCACAATACTAGCAGCATGGCCTGGCGTTGCCCATGCTTGATTCAAAAATTGTACGACTCATACAGCAACTGCTATCACTTAAAATATTTTTGCCCTTCCTTGCCTTTAAAGGAGTGCCCTTTGCCGTGCTGATGTTGCTACATGCCTTACTTCTTGCCTATCTCACACTGCAAATCTTTTCTAAGCTCTAAACTAAACATTAAATCTGTTACAAAAAAAGAACTAAAAATGAATACAAAACGATCAGCTTTAAAAAAGGACTCGTATCTGGAAAAACTGAATGAAAAAACAATGTTAACAACAAATACTTTTTCACACCCAACCCAGTTCTGCGGAATCAGAATCAACATTGAGTTTAAGCAAACATATGAACCAATTGGAGTAAAGTGCCATGCAGATTTAAATTTTTCCCACTTGTGATGAATGCAGCTATCGATTTTTTTTTGCTATGCTAGTTAACATTCATGTCAGTCAGCTGTTGGCTCTCACGCTGGCCAATAGAATCTTCCTGCCTATTCGTGGCAGCCAGCTATAGGCTCTCACTCTGGCTAGTACAAAATGGCTGCAAACTACATGAAAACTGCCGTAGAAGCATGAAAAAAAATCGATTATTTCCACTATTGATGGGAGTTGGGAAATGCAAAGTCAGTCTTGGCCTTCCCACTAACTTGGAGCATGTGCATGTAAATTTTGGTTTGGTGCAAATCCATTGAAAATTGTGGCCGTGCATTCATTACACACACACACACACACACATCACTGCCTTTTACAGATAGAGATTTGAAGTATAAACTGTAATGACCAATCTTGTATTTTCATAAACATTCTCAGTAGATCGTCAATATGAAAATGTTTTTATATGTATTATACAGAGATAAAAATAGATTATTAAAAAAAAGAGAGAAAAACCTCACTTATTAAAATTAAACAATATTTTCTAATAAATGATATTTTTTTTTTGCTATTCAGACCATCAATGCTCATATCAAGTTGTTATATATCATAATATTTTTTGAAATCCCAAATTGTGACCAAATTTGGACTTCTTCAAAATTTAGATAAAAAAATAGACTTGCAGTAAAAATTTCTTGAATTTCAAACAAGTGATAAAAAATAGCTTTTTTAATTTTATCTTCATTCAATATAATACAGGGTTCAAAAAATTCCATTGCATTTTTAAGCCACAGCAAAAAATAATAATGTAACATCATTTCATGAAAAAAATAAAATGGATGGAAGAGAAGGTGGTAGGAAGTCAAGATTATAAGGAGGATATATAAAAATTAATCCTTGACTTGAAATCAAGATTGAAGTATTCAGGAAAGTTCTTGGGAAAAAGTCAGAATTTAATAAAATTTTTTGGAAAAATCAACACAACCTGCAATACTGTATTATATAAACTAATATAAAATGAAACATTTCAATGTCAATGTGATAACATGTTAGAATATGATATAAAAAAGTAAATGGTAAATTAAAAAAGAAGGAAACTCTAAAATCAGAAGGAATACACTGGTTGAACAAGAACAAAGATTACTTTACAATCAATGAAGAGAAAAAATGAATCATTTAAACTTATCTCAAATTCACCAAAAGTTTATTCCATAAAGTACATGTAATGTTCAGTCATTTGTTGGGCTTTAACTATCATCAACTGTCAGATTCAAATATGTTATGTCCAATCAAAAACACTTAACACAAATTCCTATGTAAAGAATCAAAAATTCATTCTTTTTGGAAAGCATTGGAGACAAATGGTGAATTTGGATTGTTGTGAGCATATTTAAACCATCTTCATAGGAGGAGTTCTAAATGATACTTTGAGACAGAATTAGAAAAAAGGTTTATTTTCTGATTACATCATAGACCAATTTGCAGGTTTCAACAGATAACCTGATGGAATTTGTCAAAATATATATGGACAATAATTTATACAAAATTAATGATTCAATTAATGGTAAATTTTATACATGGAATATTTCCAGGAAATAGATGTAATCACTAAAATTAGCCTTCATGCTATTTGCCCCACCAGGAAGATTTACAAGCTGGACTAAGTGTATTCAATAAGACCTTCTTAGTTCAATTGAAAAAGAAAACTGATGTTGCTTCATGGAAATTTGGATGTTCAACTAATAATTTGAAAAGACCATGGGTTCAAGCCATCAGTATATTATAAACCAACATTCACAGGACAATACTGGAACTTCAATTTTCTCCATCCATATAGTGTCAAGAAATTATCTACTGGAACAAACTAAATTTGACAAATCCAAACAGAAAATTTTATCAGTACATTCTCTTAAAAACCTTCAATGTAACAATTTACCCTGTAAGTTAATTTGAAGGGGGAAAAGAAGAGTTGAAGACAACAATAACAATCTCTGTTACAAATCCAACACAATGGTTATTCTGTAATCAATTAAAAGAATCAAAGGATTTGCAGTTCACATATCAGGAAAAGTGTTCTGTTAAAGCATTTTCTGTTTTATCTAAATATCCCTCAAGAACCAAAATTCTGATTGGAAGAAATGATGACAACAATTTTTGCATTTTATCCCACGCAGGTCTGGCAGGGAATATAAAGGAAAAACTAGCCAAACACAGGTTCTAAAAAATTCAAATTTTCTTCATACATCAAAATTACATTATTGTTCAGGAAGAGTAAATCTGTGATAAAATCAGGCATGACTTATATGGAAACAAAAGGTTGTTCGTCAACTCCTGTGGAATGAAATCAATATAATAGGGAACAACTTTGGAGGATAAGATAACTGAAAAAAAATCAGCACTTGCAATTAAAAAAGCAGACCTAGCATATTTGAGTTATGAATTTGATTTAAAGATTTTTTTGAAGAATAAATAAAATATTCAAAAAAAAAAAGAAAACATGGTTATACCTGTTTAATAAATCATTCATATTTACAAACAAATGTTCATAACCATCTTCCTTAAAACATATTGCTGTTATACATGATCTAGGTAATGGATACTAAAAATCACAATACTTAAGGTTTAAAAAAATCCAATTTTTTTTCCATAAAAGATGATTTCTTGATCTGGTATTTAATCTTTAATTAAAATTTAGATTTGCAATTTAAAGTCTCTTCTAAAAAAATTTTCGTTTACTATTTCTAATAAGCAAAATTCAATGGTTCCTGGACTGCAAACATAAATTATATTGATTGGAATTGAGTTTCACCCTTTTTCAATAAAATCGTTAATGTA